GCAATTATAGTGGTGTACGCTAATTAACTGTCCTTGGAGCAGGGGGTTATGAACAACAATTAGTGCGACGCCTTGTTACCCGTTTGAGGGTCCTGGTAACCTTGGCTACTCTTCTGCCTGGCCCGTCGTGGGATCTTCTTCGTTCGTTTTGGTCCTGTTTCCTCCATTGCTCTCATAATGGCGCAAGACTTTGTAGGCAGCGGGAGGTCTAGATGCCGGTTGGTGAAGTTGGCATCTGAGTACCATGCCTCAAGCATCAGCCTTTCGACTTTTGAGTTTTCTCGGCCTACGATGGTTGCTACTTGGAGATCGAAGTTACGGCCAGTCTCCGCGACGTGTGCTGCAAATTATGAATCTTGGTCTGGTCTCTCAGCTGCCCGTTTGTGCTCGTGAAGGGGGTTCTGCAATTTGCGGCCTGTTTCTCCAACGTAATTGCAGTCTCCTTCGTTGTAAAGTATCTTGTAGACAACTGCAGAAGTTTCTATAGGAGGCAGTCTGTCCTTAGGTTGCATCCCGCGCCGGCGTATTATCGCCTGCGGTCGATGGGCTATGCCGACGCCAACAGGTTGCGACCGTCGTGAGACTGCTTCGGGGACCCCTTTCATGTAGGGAATGACTCTTCAGACTTCGGGTTGTTGTTGCACTGGCCGTCGTCTGTTGATTCGGCGCCTACTCTGTTTGATGAATGACTTTTGGTATCCATTTGCTCGGAAGAGTTCGTGGAGGTATTGTTGCTCAGCTTTTCTGGCAGCTGGTGTGCTGCAACGTGTTTTCGCTCTTTGGAAGAGGGTACGAACACAGCTAAGTTAGTGACTAATGGGATGATTGCTGTTAAAATGTAGCACTTGATTCGTGTTGGTGGCCTTTCTGAGTACTGTGGTTTGCAATATTCCAGTTGAACACCGGCGCACGAGGACATTGAGGAAGGTTAATTGGTTGTTTCTTTCCGCTTCCATCGTGAATTGGATGTTTAGATCAACCGAGTTCAATAGATTTTGAGGTGCTCGATGTCAGATATTTTGACAGTGACGAAAGTGTCATCGACATAACGATCCAAAAACTTCGGTCGATACTTGGCGAAGACCAAGTGTTCTATCCGCTGGAGGACTATTTCAGCAATCAGGCCTGGTAGAATGCGAACGCCTTTAATTTGCTCATACATTTGCCCACTGAATGTGAAGTAGGTTTTAAGGCAATGTCGTAGAAGTTTGAGCAAATTTTCAGACTTCAGGGGTTTGTCACTGTCGTCGTAGCGTTCGTTTAGAAGTTGTCTCACAACATCAATCGCTAGTTGCTGTGGGATAGAGGTGAAGAGTGAAACCACATCGAAGGATACCAATGGTTCATCTGGCTTCAACTGTAGATGATTTATCCGTTCGAGGAACTGTTTGACAGAAGCTACTGTTGTTGTTGAGCCTTCTGCCAAGAAATTCAGATACGTAAACATCCATTTTGCCAAACCGCATGTGGGGGTGTCACGAAGGGAGAAGATTGGCCTAAGTGGTATGTTTTCTTTGTAAACTTTCGGCAGACCATAGAATCGTGCTGGGGCTTTGTCGGTTGAAATTACGATAAGTAATGGTCCGGGTGCTGATGGATGTTCTACCATGGTGCCAAATTTAACCTCCAACGCGTAATATGACAGCTATTAATTATAACACACACGTGACCGCATGGCAGTTTCTCCCGCAAAATTCTGCCTTCAATGCTAACTGCCATAATTAAGACTAAAGTCTAAGTTTTTCTCCGTCTGCTGAGACAGGGAACTTCTTTATTCAATCCTCAGTATCGAACCGAACACTCATAATAGTATAAATTTCATCTTCGTTTGATTAAAGAACGCAAAACTGTGATCGAGTCAACATGCGGCACACTACACACTGGATTCATAATTAACCAGTTTTGGAGCGTGCTCATCGCATAGAAGCTAAAAAAATATGAATTAGAGGTGACGATTTTCTGAAGACACGTACTGCAAGGTTGTACCCTCAGGGACTGTCAGCTATTTCGTATGCACTTAAAGGGTTTATGTTGTGGTGGTATAACGCAGAAGCGAATCCCAATCATCGAATTTGCAAAGTTTCCCCAAATCAGAAGTCAAGGAAATAAATTATGCTGTACCAATTCCTTCCGAGACACAGAGCGTACGGGAAGATAAACAAACAGTTGTTATAAACTGGCTCTTCAATCGCGTGCGTTTGCGTTCGCACTTGATAGTTTTAGACTCCAGGGTCTTCCTTTACAATAAGGCAAGTCTTGCATACAACTTTCATGATGAGATTTAACTTAGTGATTAAAAAGGTTATTGAGAGGTTATTTAGATCAACTGAGTGAATTTAATAATTTGAAAGGCTTTAGTTTGGAAACTGCCCTCCTAGATAATGTTATGGAGCGAAATAGGTACTAATTTTGGCTAAATCATGAATTAATAGACATCGAAGAAATTTCGTATGCCATTATGTACGACAGAGCCAATCTATTTATTCCTATATATTGTGCTATATAAGAAATCCAGAATAAGTACAAAAAGGGGAAAAATTATCCCTTCAAGAACTAGAAACTTTTGTTCGAAGTTGCTCAAATGGCAGTGAAGTCAAGTTTAAGGAATCGCATTTATTTTCCGAGACAAAAAACAGTTCAAGTGTTAAAATTATGTATAGCTAATATGTGAAGTTTTGTTGCACAAACTACAGAAAAAAAGGTTTCATCGCATTTTTTTTACCACACGGCTCCAATTGGCGAATAAGCAAAGTGTCCACATATTTTACTGCGAAGGTAATGTAAAGGACGCTTTATTGAATGTAAGTCAGGCAGAAATATAGTGTTTATAAACCAAACGTCCCGTGCATTCTTTATTTAGAAACGGGACAGACAGAAGAATAATAAGTATTTCAAAAAATGGCCATCTATACGGCCAGTCTTCTGTGCATTCATAAGAATATGAAAAATGGTGGAATTAATCCCCTTATGCGGAAAGTAATCCATTATAAAGTGAAAGGTATGTTCTTTCATCTCCAGTCAAGTTGAATCGTTAATCGCCAGGTGGATTAAAAAAATTGTCAAAAGTCTCCAGTTTTCTTGTTGTTTTACCTGGGAAAAAAGTTAGTATACGCACAAATTCGTTAGCCGAATATACAATTAAAACACTTTTTAAAGAGATAACCATATTTTGGAACGTTTATTCATTAATCTTAAGAATAACAATACCCAAGATATCTCGCGGACATTCCGTATGCTCGGCAGTGGAGTTTGCCGTTTTGAGGCATTTCTGAGTATGATCCACATGACCATCTTCATAAGAAATAATATCCAATAACTCATTTTTTTGCGGTAAATGCTCTTTATCTCTGTCTTATTTTAAAGGTTTTGATGAAAATGTCGAACAGAAGCGCACTTTATCAATTTATAAATGAAGAAACTGAAAACAAATGAAATAATCCCAGACCCAATACATACTCAATAAATAGTTATCCACTAATTATAATATTTACAACATATTTTGACTAAAGTAAATTTCTTTTTTATAAAGAAATTGGTTTTATCCCGTTTTCGACTAACGAAAGACTTAAATTTATTG